CGCTTTTAAGACTAGCTGGTGGAATTTGCTCTTAATGGATAGAGCAATACAGAAATGCTTGTCCTCTGGCTCTGTGTCTAGGTTTCTTGGATACAAGGCGTCTTTTAAAGTTCAAGGCTTTTTGCTCGTGGGAAGAAAATTAGTGGTGGTGTGTTGCAGAGTTTTAGCTATGTAGAGCCAAATTGTATCTACTTTCCTCATTAATAGGTCTGAATCTGACCCATAGGTGTTTAGCTATTTTAAATAAGCACAGCTAGCTAAGTGTGGTTTCTGTGGCAATAGAATGGAGTAATTACAGTAGGTGGTGGCTGGTAAGGTAACCAGCTAGGCACTCCTGTTAATAATATATAGGGAGAGGTGGGCAAACCTCCAAAAATGGGTGAGGTTGGGATTCGTAATCTAAACTGTCTGAACCTCTTTATGCAAAACTGGGTTGGGAAGTCTCACAAATAACTGGCTTTCTTCTGAGATGTCCAGTATTTCTTACACTTCTAGCATGACAGACAAAAAGTGGCAATTTTGGATCTCCAGTCCCAGGTGAAACCATAGAGCCATATTATGTGATTGGGGGTGTGGGAGGTCACCCAAACTCCCTTGAACTTCACCCTTTTTAGCTGAAAGTTTCTGGATCATTTTCTTGTGAACCAGCCCTAACCGAAGCATTTCATTTGCTGCTAATGTGGGTTCATATGTGGTCAGATTCTGTGTCTCCTATGCAATAAGTGTTTTTCTACTTGCCATTTTTTGTGGCTTGCTGTTTATTGGACAGCAGCAATGTAGCTGTCTTTGGAGAATCTCCTGGGAAATACTACTATAGAGTGACATAAGATACTTTTACATTTTTCCAAACACTGTGTATTTTTTTCCTTGATAGACCATTACAATATTTTGCTGTAATATCACACAGGGTTTGGATCATTGCTATAGGATCAAGGGGAGGGGGAATGTTAACGTTAATGTTATTTAACGTTGTTAAATAAGTGTTGGATCAGCAAACTTCGGTTATTCACAGCAGTGAAGCAGTGGACCATATCAATGTTTTGAATAAGCTGGTTCTCTGCCCGCTTCTACCCCCAGCTCTGTTGTTTGTTTGTGTAAAGTATATTCTGTATTTACAATGTGCCAACCAACCTAGATCCAATGGAACTTACTTTTAGTGAACTTTACATTGGACTAGATGGTGCTCAGTGATTGGTTACAAAATTTCAAAGGTGGGGAGGTGGGAAGACTAGAAATGGCAGGTTTAAACTTAGTTTTTATGTTTCTATGTGAATATATGCAAATCTAGATATTCCTGATTGCTGTTGGCCAATAGTTAGTGCAAACTAAATTTTAAACAGATGGCTGGTGAGTGATTTCTCTAGACTACTTTTCCCTGAGAAAAAAATCGCCTTTTTACTTAGACTTAATGCCTTTCAACTGTCTTTCATCCAGGTGTAGTAGTGTGTAATTCTCAAGAGGCTGGACTGGGAAATGTTTTATATGGACCATGGAATCTGGTTTTGTGATGAAGCTGTCTTGAAGTTGTGCTGTCTTCAGCTTAGCATTTGAAATAAGATGTGAGGCCTGATCTTGCATTCTTTGCACATTCAACATTTTCACAGAAGTTAGTGGAAGTTTTGGGCGTGCCAAGAATGCAGAATTTTCTGTGAAAGGTTTTTGGTATTTCATTTACTATTCAATTAACTGATTTTTTTCTAGCTAGAAATTAGCATCCAGTTTCAGTAAGAACCTTTTTATTTATTTTATTTATTTAAAGTTAGGCACTTCTATACATACATCACTATAGGAGTATGGTTGGATAGCTATTTAATTCAGGACACTTCAATCAAAGTTACTGTCAAGAGGTAGAGGATGTGCAGATTTTCACAAGTCAAAGCTCTACTTGCTTTGGTTCATCCAGTCACAGTTTAGATTGATGCCTCATACTAACATTTCTGGTAACCATACATGACAACATGAAGATCTATATATATTTTTGGTCTCCACATATGTGGTGTACTTCTTAAAAAAAAATTATTATTTGGAAGAGATTCAAGCTGTTCACTTCCACTATAAAATATTGCCGTCATCAATTTTGAGTAGGCATAGTGTTTATATGCATTGGCCAGTATCCATAAAGTAAACATCTTCATTCTTTCATCTACCCTCCTCCCACGTCCTCTATGGTTGTCCTTTTTCAATAGCTGATCATTTTGATGGTGGCAGTAAACATATCAGGGTATTTATAATTTTTTAAAGCAATCTATTGTAGATTTAATGTCCATTTCATTGCAACCAACGCAGTGCATCTTTCTCAAATTATCAGCTTCTAATTATATTTGTTTCTTAAAAAGAAATCTTCAAGTATAGCACAATGTAATTTTTTTAAGACACAGTTTCTCCACTGCAAAAACATTAATAGCAGTGTGAAAAGATTTTTAATTACAAACTTCAGCTCAATTACTAACTACATCTATTGTCAAACAGAACTTTAAAAAAAAATACCCACACAAATTGTGGACCAAAATATCATGTTTGTTTTACTAATTATATCCCTTTTGTGTAAGGCATCTGAGCACAAAACAGCTGCCTTCATGCCAAGATAAAGACGTTGCTGCACTTCAATCCCAGCAGAAAGTTTAGGCTTCCCTCCGTGAAGCCCACTTGTCCACACTTCACTGCTAAGCACACAGGAATCTTGAATATTTAGGCCAGGTCTACACTAGAAACTTTTTTGCCAGTACAATGTTGGTTATGACATTGTTATACTAGCAAAAGTTCTACTGTAGATGCAGTTATACCAGCAAAACAACAACAACAAAACCACCACCATCACAAGAAACCTCTTGCAAATACACCTTTACCCCGATATGACATGGTCCTCTGGAGCCAAAAAATCTTACTGTGCTATAGGTGAGACCGCGTTATATTGAACTTGCTTTGGCCCCCCTGCTCCTTGTCCCCTGACCACCCCCTCCAGAGACCCCCATCCCTAATCACTCCCTAGAACCCCACCCTCTACCCAACCCCCCTGTCCCCTGACTGCCCCGACCGCTATCCACACACCCCGCCCCGTGGGCTCACCGGCAGCGGTGGGAAGCGGAGCAGCCCGGCCCCATCCCGCTCCACTCTACCAACTCCCAGCCGCAGCGCTCCGCTTCCCACCGCCGGTGAGTGTGGGGAAGTTGGGGAAAGGACGCCCCCTGTACTCGCCTACGGTGGGAAGCGGAGCGCCGCAGCCCCGGCCCAGCGGTGTCGCTGCGGTGGGTTGGGGAAAGGTCCCGCACTCACCGGCAGTGGCGGAAGCGGAGCAGCCCGGCCTCAGCCTGCTCCACTCCGCCAGTTCTCAGCCGTGGTGCTCCGCTTCCCGTTGCAGGTGAGTATGGGGGGACGTCCTTCCCCCAACCTCCCTGCACTCACCGGCGGCGGGAAGGGGAGCGCTGCGGCTGGGAGCTGATGCACTGATCTGCCGGAGCGCTACTTTACTGCGTTGTATGTGAACCCGTGTTATATCAGGTCGCGTTATATCGGGGTTGAGGTGTGACTTATTTTGTTTGGAGAACTAGCATAAGTCATGAGTAGGGCCCTATCAAATTCATGGCCATGAAAAACGCATCACGGGCTGTGAAATCTGGTCTCACCCCATGAAATCTGGTCTTTTATGTGCTTTTTACCCTATACTATACAGCTTTCACAGACCAGCGTTTCTCACATTGGGGGTCCTGACCCAAAAGGAAGTTGCCGGAGGGTCACAAGATTATTTTAGGGGGGTCGCTGTATTGCCTCCCTTACTTCTGTGCTGCCTTCAGAGCTGCGCAGCTGGAGAGCAGCGGCTGTTAGCCAGGCACCCAGCTCTGAAGGCAGCATCTCACCAGCAGCAGTGCAGAAGTAAGGGTAGCAGTACTGCAACCCCCCCCCCCCCACACACACACACAACTACCCTTGACACTCCTCCCCCCAACTCCTTTCTGGGTCAGGACCCATACAATTACAACCCTGTGAAATTTCAGATTTAAATAGCTGAAATCATGAAATTTACAATTTTAAAAATCCCATGACCGTGAAAATTTTCAAAATGGACCGTGAATTTGGTAGGGCTCTGGTCATGAGCTATGCTGCCAAAAGCACTCTTGCGCTGTGTCTGCCAAGATAGCTATCCCAGCAAAAGCTCTTCTAGTGTAGACTGGACCTTAGGTGTGGGACATGGAATGGGAGAAGTTCTGACTTCACAGCACAATCTTGTCAGCATTTAGACAGTGGGGAAGGAACACAGAGTCATTCTCACGGGACAGTGTGTGGGGCTCCTGGTCCAATAACAGAAGGAAGCAATTTGCAGGAATATTGTTCTGTTATGACAACTTCTTGTCCGGTGACTCGTGTCCGATGCTTCAGTGTAATACGCCAAGCAGCCTATAGCAGAGGGTAAAATTCCCTGCTGCTGTTCTGTTTATACCCTAAGCACAAGACTTGATCACCATATTATCTTGTATCCTGCCTACTCAAATTGCAGACATTACTATTCTTCCTAGAAGTGTCTGAGAGCTTATGTTCCTTTTGCCCTTTCTCCATTTCCATAACGTATATGGGGTTAGGGTGACCAGATGTCCTGATTTTGGGGTCTTTCTTATATAGGCTCCTATTTCTCCCCCCCTCCCCACGCCCACTCTCCTGATTTTTCACACCTGCTGTCTGGTCACTCTATATGGGGTTTGGGCAAAACACAGATATTTCAGATATGGTCTGTCCCTTGGTGCACTTGTGACCAAAGCCCTTCACCCTCCCCCCCCCCAAAATCTCAATCCTTTCTCTTCTCCAGAGAGAGTTAAACTGAGCAAAGAAAACATGCAGAGGTTGCCAGCCTGCCCTTCCAAGAAGGGGTTAAATTGAGTTTTCAGAAAATGCTGTAGGCAGGACCTAGAATCGCAGCTTCATTCTCTCTTGCACTCTGTTTTGGGGAGGGAGTCGAATGCTTTGACAGCAGCTTGACATTGCCTTGAAAGGTGCTGGAAGCTCTCTAGGCATTTGCCAAAGGGGGTGGGGGAGAGGAAAGCCTGTCAAGCAGTACTGCAGTCTCAGCCTATTCCCATGCTCGGAAATGCTGCTGCCACTTGGAGATTTCCATAAGGTTTAGCTGCCGTCCAACTTCTGCCACTGGGATCGTGCACAGAAAGGTCCTGGAGGCACCGAAGGGAATCTCCTCCAGGGAGGAGCTTCACCATCTCCAGGATTTTTTTTGTGACTCATGCTGCGGGACAAAAGGTTTTGTGCAAAGGGCAAGGACACTGCCCATGTGGAATGATGGCTGCTCTCAACCAACCTGGTACAAGTTGGAATATTGCTGGGAATGAAGTGTGTGCTTCATGTTTGCTGCATCTGCCAGCGAGCCAGTGCTCAGCTGTTGCTGCTCCTTCAACCAGCTGTTCATTTTAATCATTGCATTTATAACTTGTGCTCCACAAATGTCGAGTGGCCAGTCTGACCGATCTATTGCTGGATTTGTAAGAACAGCTAAAGATCCTTTAGCCTCTGGTTTGGTTTTGTTCTTGTCAAACCAGACTGGATCTTGAGATTCTCATTTTAACTAGCCCTGTTTAGAATTTTGTTAAAGGGAGTGCAACATTTGCTGGGAGTCTTCATAAAGTGGAGTCAATAGGACTTTGTTCCCTTTAAGTGGAGGAGCATAGCGTGCATTGTAACCCTGCTCTGTGGTGGGAGACAGACTGAAAGTGAGCTTGCTGTGAAGTGATTCCAGTACAGCCAGGGAGAGACAGAAAGGAGCTGGTATTGCAATTAGCTGAATGCTTTGATAGATAATAGCAAACATGCTTTGTGGACTGAAAAAGGATTTGCAGTCAGACTTCGGTGAGTGAGCCTGTATTTTCCCCCCCACCAGTTTACTTTCATGTCACTTGATTTCTTTTAACTATTATCAAACCCAATAACCAATGTATGCCCACCTTTACTGGAGTGTTTCAAAAGAGCTTGGTTTTTACTCTGACTTAATTGCTTTGATTTGTAAAATGTGCCTCTGCTCCTCTGAAAAGAATTTCTCTCTGTAACAATTGGAGAGCACTGTACATACCACTCTGCCTCTCCTCTTATCCCTTATCTGACTAAAAGCTGGGTGGTGTATGGTATGCTCTTAAGACACCCAAAATATTGTATTTGCTCTTCTGTGAACATTTTTATGGCAATTACGTTTCATGGAGGCTTCATGTAACTCTGTACTCTCTTGTTCTCTCTCTTACTTTAAAGATCAAGGTGTATAAAAGCTGAGGGGTGTGTGTGTGTGTGTGTGTTAGTAATGGACCCTGATGAGTAGAGTTGGATCCCTGACACCATTCTGTGTCACAGGTCTAATCTACTGTTACACTGCCTACCGTAATGATCTTGGTTCACACTAGAAAATTGCCAGTCTAAGATGATGATAAACCCATGTTTGGACACGCAGGGCTGTAAACTACTAATATGGATCAAACAGGCCTCCTTTATCCCCCATATTCCTGTGCAGAGATGAAGGCTTTAAGGGCACCTTTTAAATAATTTATTGAGGATGAGGCTCTGGATACAGAAGCCTGGCACCAGGTGGGGTGGTCCTGAAAGTGTGACTGGGGTTAAAATGTTGGAGCACTTTTGTGGTTGCATGCTACAGCCCTGCTTGTTGTAGTTTTTCATTTACAATGCTGCATGAAATGTGCTTGCTCTCCTCCCCCCCCCCCTTTTGTGAAAGCAAAAACATCAGAGCCTGGAGAAAGGGGTTATTTTGGATTCCAAATAAATCTGCATTGCTTGAAGCAATCTAGTGGGGGGGATGCATTCTTTCCCACCTCCTGAGCTGGCTGAATGAATGAACCCAAGTCAATCGATCTGAAAAATACTATGCTATTTTCTTCCTCCCCTCCACTCCAAAATCTATAATGTACACTTGTTAGATCTTCATAAAAGGATAAAATGAAGCTGGCATAAGCCATCTTACCCTGCTTAAGTGATGGCTAATAACACTAAAGGAGGTTAGATGCAGATCTCCACTTACTGCCTCTCAGTAAGTTAAGATGTCCATTTTTCAAGCTGATTGAACCATTGAAGTATCTCTCTCTAGGCAGAGAGAAGCTGCTCCAACAGGCCATGGATGCAGGCACTACATGAAGAGACTTCTGGAAACTTCTTGGTAGGACCCTGATTGATTGGCTCTGAGAATTAGTATGGGATATAGGACTTTTCACCTCTGCTGGTTGATATCTAGTAATGCAAAGTGGTTACCAGTGGGCAGATGTCCTGTAGTTTATATGCAATGTTGGTGAGTCTCACTCCAGTTCCTCTGATTGTGCCACCGATGACTAGGGGCCTATCAAATTCACGGTCATGAAAAACGCATCATGGACCATGAAATCTGATCTCCCCTGTGAAATCTGGTCTCTTCTGTTCTTTTACAAAAGAACACGGCGTTTCTCAAACTGGAGGTCCCAACCCAAACTGGGGGTCGCAAGCCTATTGTAGGATGGTGGTGGTATTGCCACACTTACTTCTGCGGGCCTTCAGAGCTGGTCAGCCAGAGAGCGGCGGCTGCTGGCAGGGCACCCACTCTGAAGGCAGTGCCGACGCCAGCAGCAGCGCAGAGGTAAAGGTAGCAGGGTATGGAGGGTGTCATCAGCCTGAAATATTTTCAAAGGGGATCCCAGCAAAAAAAGTTTAAGAACTCCTTTGAGAATCCTTATCCAGAGTGACGTACAAGTGTAACAGTAATACAGTACTGTGTGTGTGTGAACACATCTGCAAAATTTGCTATTTATGCTGTGACCAACCCATGAAAAATGTGGTGTGTTTTTTGTGATTTTTAAGTAGACCCCTACCTGAGAGTTGGTACCCTTTGATGGTGCAATGTGACACTTCGAAGTGGGTCATTGGTAGTGGGGATTAAACATCAAACCTTTTGGATCTCAAACCGTGAGTCTCCACTGTCTGAGAAAAGACCCAACGCTCTTGGATAAGGCTGCAGGAGGCTTATCAACCTCAATATCTGGTCCAATCACCAGAAGGAGACCGAGCACCACGTTGAATGCGTGTGTTACAGTATCTTAAAATCAGAATTTCTCTCTATGCTAGAGGTGACCCTTTCAGATTGCAGGTGAGGCACTTCACGGAGCGACTAGGGCCAAGCTTACACTTCTATTGCCCAGGAATTCACTGTTCTGTGAATATATAGCAGAGCTGTGGTCTCGTTTACCAGAACTAGACTCTCTGTATCACAAAGGAGAAGGGAAAGACCGCTGGCTGTCTTGTCTCCCAGCCCTGTTCTCCGTTCTCTTCAGACCCCTCTTTTTAGGCTGATGTACACAGAGTAGCATTCCGTGGATCTTTAATGTCTGGTCAATATTTTAATTGCAGTGGTATTTTTAAATAGTACTTCCTTGAACACGCAAAATGGGATTCTTTATTTTTTTTTCTCTATTAGAAATATTTTATCTGTCTCTCTCATGAAATCCTCTTGGTGGCTGGCAAATGAGATGAATGCATTAAAATCAGTTTCCATTTTTTCAAGTGATTTGTGTATGAGTCACTCTACTTGGCATTTAAAAGTGATGGGAAAATATCAAAGCCCAATGGCTTATTTTGGAGAAGCACCCAAAAGTTCAGATGTGTCTCCAGACCCCTTGGGCCGACCCTCCTGATTTTTGGTCACCCATGGTAAAAAGTCTGAGTAGGCCATTGTCATGGTATTTTCTTATAGTCCCAGCCAGCACCAGGAAATGCAAAGCAGCCCAGAACCATTTTTAAAGATAATCTGACTTGCAAGGTAGGGGGAGTTGCTTAAGATTTAGGGGGAAGTTTGAGTCAATTGTCATTTATTTGAATGAGTTTCTCTCCCGATCACAGTGGAAGCCCTGATGGAGAATTTGCAGTGTTTTATATATTTGGCAAGCGATATGCACACAGGGTTTATGTTTGCAATGCAAGTCATCTGGCTAGTGTGTGTAATTTTTTAAAAATGTGTAAGGTAGGAGAGAAATCTTTTTGGCTGTTTTTTCTCTGTACACAGTGGCCAAAAATGTCACCAGTTTTAGATATTTTTGTGCTGCTTTTAGGTAGGGTTGTGCAGAGGTGGCGGGGGAGGGAGGCTGCTATTAATAAAAACTGGGGATTTCAGCTGGTGGAGCCCCATTGAGAGAAACGTGGCTCTGCACTTCATGCAGGGTCCTTATTATCGTGACTGCAGGGTGGGGACCCTTAGAAGTATTTTTGTTTGTGGGGCAGATAAGTGCACCTGAAATACTTCAATAAAAATGCCTGTGCACTTCTTGCTTGGACAGAAATAGATGAATTTGTAGTGAGAATTGGAAGCAGCCTGTAAAACCAGTTTTGTACTCACCATGTGGGTTCTTTATGGGTCAAATTCTACCTTTTTTTACCTCTGGCAACCCTCTTGAGGTAGGTTGCACCGTCTGTAAGGGCAGAATTTGGCCCCATGTGTCTGAGTCTCATTTTAAAGATGAATCCCAGATTTTTATTATTCTGAATCCCAGGACAGCAGTGGGAGAATGAACTAAGTTCTGTTCTACCTTTTTGAATTCTGATCAAAATAGCCAGCTGAGTTCTGATTGCAGACTTTCTACCAGTGAAGAGGATATACAAGTTGAAAGGTTTCAGAGTAGCAGCCGTGTTAGTCTGTATCCGCAAAAAGAACAGGAGTACTTGTGGCACCTTAGAGACTATATGCATCCGAAGAAGTGGGCTGTAGTCCACGAAAGCTTATGCTCTAATAAATCTGTTAGTCTCTAAGGTGCCACAAGTACTCCTGTTCTTTATACAAGTTGAAAAGATCTCAACTTGATTTTTTTTTTTTCCCCTACATGCCAGGTAGTGATGTCTGCAGCATTGACCGTTAGAAAAATTCAGTTTAAGCCTGATTTGGCGAGAAGAAAATCTGGACTGGGATGAAGTTCTTCTTTAGTGTCTGTCTGTCTGTCTCTCTCTCTCGCTCTCTCCTGTAATTAGGAATTTTATTTCTAGTGCTAGTGAAAAGTGTTGTATTGATTATCCCTCCATCCACAGGAATAGTGGTAATGCAAGCTTTCTCCACGCTATCCCCAACCAATCAGACCCCATCTGTAGAAACTTCTAGGGCTGAGCTAGCATGTCATTCTTCATGACCAATAAGTCTTTGGTCTCTCTGCTGAAGCTGCCAACAATGGTGTCAATTATGATGGTGGCTTTTGGGGTGAAAACTTTACAGAGACCACCAAGTGGCTTCATACAGGCCACTGAACACCCCTTCTGTGGTATAATGACTTTGAGTCTCTTCTAACCCAGGCTAGACTTCCACTGATAGCCTAGAAGTGATGAGCTCTACATTCTGCTACAAATCGCCTGACTTAGTCAGGCCCTAGCCCTAATTTTTCTGCACTTTAGCATAGTAGTTAACTAGTTACAGTTAATACAGTAACTACTGATACGGTTGATAGTTAACTTTACAGTTTTGTATACTCCTTGTGTAACAACAGAGAGTGCTGCAATCAGCCATGGAAAACGAAGTTGCTTAGCACTATTAACCGGGAAATTGCTGAGCCTTGGCAGTTAAGGAACTGGCATATCGGATGTGCGGTATGCTGAGATCATTTGGTCTCTGGTTTGTAGTAGATATCCATGAGGGACCGCAGGGAACCCTTGTGTTTTCTAGAAGAAGTCCTTTTATTTTGTTTGGATTTTTCAGGGTGATATTATCAAATGTAGCTTTTATTCTTGAGGGATGTTAACTCAGTTTAACCACTTGTTGGCTTTGGCATAAGTGACGAAGAGGAAGACGAGATGCAAATCTAAATTTCATTTAACAGATTAAACGTCTCTTCGCTGATAACTCAGTAATG